CGTCTTGTAAACATGCTTGCAGGTTCCTCCTGAAAGTTCTTTCAATTTGTCTTCTAAGGATGCTTGCAAGTTCCTCCTGAAAGTTATTTCAATTCGTCTTGTAAACATGCTTGCAGGTTCCTCCTGAAAGTTCTTTCAATTTGTCTTCTAAGGATGCTTGCAAGTTCCTCCTGAAAGTTATTTCAATTCGTCTTGTAAACATGCTTGCAGGTTCCTCCTGAAAGTTCTTTCAATTTGTCTTCTAAGGATGCTTGCAAGTTCCTCCTGAAAGTTATTTCAATTCGTCTTGTAAACATGCTTGCAGGTTCCTCCTGAAAGTTCTTTCAATTTGTCTTCTAAGGATGCTTGCAAGTTCCTCCTGAAAGTTATTTCAATTCGTCTTGTAAACATGCTTGCAGGTTCCTCCTGAAAGTTCTTTCAATTTGTCTTCTAAGGATGCTTGCAAGTTCCTCCTGAAAGTTATTTCAATTCGTCTTGTAAACATGCTTGCAGGTTCCTCCTGAAAGTTCTTTCAATTTGTCTTCTAAGCATGCTTGCAAGTTCCTCCTGAAAGTTATTTCAATTCGTCTTGTAAACATGCTTGCAGGTCCTTCCTCAATGTTCTATCAATTTGTGTTTGAAAGTCTTTGTTGGTTATACGCGCGAAAATTTGAGTTATCACTCGAATTTACTTACGAAATGGTTTCTGTGTAATGAAAATTGGATATATGAGCTTAAATTACTCTACAAAATATGTAACTATTCTACTGAATAGGGGCATGAATGTAAATAAATATTTAAAATCTCTAAACCATACGAAGAAAGACGTAAAAGTTGATGAAATACCAAAAAATAAAGTTTTTTTTAATACGCTATTAGCAGTAAACTTTTTTAAAAACGAAAGAAAAAATGCACATAAAATAGAAGAGTCATCAAAACTTTGAATTTATTGAAAGTGAAAGTAATGAAGACGTAAGATTTTTGTGAAAAAATAAGATTATTTCAAGTTTTATGAGTAATAATCTCAGTTATGAGGCTGTAAAAATCAATAAGTCAAAATTCCATTTGTATGGAAGAAATAAGCATTAATAAAATGACGCCGAGATGAATACAGTAGACCCCCCCTATAATACGGTAGATAATTCCGTGTTATATGAATTCCGTGTTGTACGATTTACAAATACGTAAGCCGTTCACATCCCGGCACACGTATTTGTAAAATCTAAGTGACTCGTACAACACGGAATTATCTACAGTGTTATAGGGGAATCTACTGTATTCTTTAATTTTGAATAATCAATTGTATATATAAATTGGATTGTAAATTTAAAATAGAGATTATATAAACTTATTATTAACACGAAACTTCTATGAATTATTTACAAATCTGATCGAAAAGTCAAATTTTAGATACAGTACAATTAGAAACGCCTTTCACACAATAATTAAACGGATTTTGATTAAGTAGTTTAAAATTACCGTGTTTTCCAAGTAAACAAATGCAGAATTATAAAAATTCATTATAAAATACCTTTATATATATATATGAGGTTAAACCCCCCTCTCCCCTGCTTCTCGATTACAAGAATAAAATTAAGTCAGTACAACAGTTCATTTATTTAACCTCAAGCTTTCAAACAGAACTTCAACTCAGATTAATTAAATTCAATTGTTCGAGGAAATTACGTACTAGACAAACTAAACCGTATAATATAGGGAATACAATTCAGAAACTGGCAGGGGGTAGAAATGTCACTGTGTTCGTCATCAAAGTTCTGTTTAGTTTACGTAACAGTTATATGTGTTATAATGAGAGTAAACAATTTAAACAAGCAATATATATATATATATATATATTTTTTTATGTTTATAAACTAAAATTCAATATAAAAAAATGCAATTTCGTAAAAAGTTTTATTACAAATTTTACTGCTGGACAAATTGACAGCCATTTGTACTTGTACAGTACAAGTCATCCATTAATCATCTTTAACGTTAAGAATTTCAAAAGCCCATTAAAGAGTTCGTTAACGATATTATAAATAATTAAAAATTCTAAACAAAAAAGTTTTATTTAAAATTATAGAAAAGTTTAGATAAATATTATGTTAGCCTTTAACAGAATTGGACAGAGTCCAGATTTTGGAGGACATTCCATTGTAAAAAAAAAAAAATCCAAAATCTAGTGGATTCTTTCCTTTTCTTATATGTATTTTTTTTTTCTTTTCTTTTCTTCAAAAAAATGGAAATCCTCTTACATCCAAGAAGCGTAGACAATGATCGAACGATTCTACGTCAATCAGTATCCTTTAATAAACTGTACGTTGTATGGCTTTCCGACCGAGGATTTACTCAAGAAAATTTCTTTCCCAATAAAATCCCTTAATTTCCAACCATTTATATAGCCTATATATATATATAGAAAATCATGAATAAAAAAACATTAATCTAAGTATACTTTCATTTGTTATTAACATAGGTAGGTTAACAAACTTTTTAAATAAATAAAAAAAAATTGAAAGAAATGATTGTAAAGATTAAGTTTTCTATTATTAAATGCAAGAAATCAATAAGAAAAGAGTGCAATTTTCAAAATTCTTGCCTTCTATTTTTGCTTTTTAACTACTAATTCTGTACATCCATCATAGTAGACAGATACTACTTCGTGTGCAGCATTCAATGGTTGACGGATGACAAATAACCTTTACAGATATGCTCCCTGGACGTAAGCAAAAAGGCCTATAAGTTGTTATAAGCTAACATCATTCATATATAACGTTGCAATATATATATATAGAGGTTTGTTTTATATATATATATATATATATGAAACGATTCGGTGGATACATCAGGCGGTTTGTTTAATGATTCGTTTTCAATGCTTCTGTAGATAAACTTTATCGTACCACATGAAAGGTATCGTTGCATAAATACGTTTACTATGTTCAAAAGAGTATACAAATGAGAATTAAACTAATGACTTTTGTAGGAGAAACAGTGTTTGATCATGTGGATTGTTAAATGTAAACAATTGCTATTAAATTCCTATTCGGTTGTTTGTTTTTTCTTTTTCTTCTTCTGATTTTACACAATAACAAATTGTAAAATGGGGAGATAAATTATTCAAAAAATTAAGCTTAAAAGCTACTACATTTCTTTCCTCCAGTATAAATAGATGAGTAAATGAAAGCTTGTTTGATAGTGACAGTCAAACGTACAGTACAAAAAAAAAAGAAGACGGAAAAAAAGGGAAAAAATAGGACTAGATTTTCTTGAAACGTTATTAAAATTCTTCAAATTAATCGTATCCGGTTATATTTTCTTTTATTTTTTTATTTTATTGTCGAGCGAATATTCTAAATTCTTTCGAATTCACNCCGTTTACTATTAAGCGGCGCTCGACGTTCGACGTTCACGTTCGAGAGATGAAAACTTCGGCCGAAACCTCTCAAATATTCTTTTAAAATAAATGAATAATTAATCAATATATTCCTCATTCGAATAGAAAAGTAAAATCCATATTCCAATATAGATCCTTTCTCTAATCCTTTTTCGTTGTAGAAGCTGAACAATCTCATTAGGAATTTATTAAATCTGAAGCACGATGAATACCTAAATATTGTAATAAATATTCATAAACACGAATTATGTATGTTATTTCGTTATTCGTGCTTAGTAATTTGAATGGTATCACAATAAGCAAAAATCTAATAGGTAGAGAAGAATTTATTTACTTTTAATTGTATCAGTTCATGCAACAAGATCTTACTAATTGAGACGAGTAAAGTTAATTATTTATCAAGAAAACTTTGTTGTGCTTAGGTCAGCTTCCTCCGGGCCATCTCATATTGCTGACAAACGAAGCGGCCTGCTTAGTTGAACACATCATCATCATTGTTCTTTCTCCAAATGAATAACTTCTCTATCTTCTATATTATTTAACATAATAGAAGGAGTAAAAGTAAAACACTTTTGTAATTTTCTACTATTATTATAATACAAGAATTCGCTCGAGAAATAATATAATTAATTCAGTATTGTTGGAAAGTTATTTAAAGGATTTGTATATAATTTAAATAGTAATGAATACATTTATTTGGATTTTAATTCGTTCGCTTTGAAGAGTAATTAATTAAACTCGATGATAGTTTCTAGCAGTAAAGTTTTCTTTAAATCAAAATGGAGAAGCGAATATTATCGTTTAGCAAAAGAAATTCTTATTTAAACCGTTATTAATTCGGCTCGAATAATTTTCAATAGAAAATTACTTAATATCTTAACATAATCTTATTTATTATTGCCGCTACCTCGAAGATAAGCAATGTAAATATGTATCCATTATAATGTTAATAATATTAATGAGGAAAAGCATTGAAATTAACTTCGTGTTACTGAATTAAGAGAAGAAGAAGAAGAAGAAAAAAATAACAGTAATGAAAACTTAATATTGATGCGGCCATGTAAATTAAACTGTAATTTTTACCAGTAACTGTTTAGAATTTCGGGTTTTATATTTAAAAAAAAAGTATCGTAATGTATTCCTTTAGATTTAATGAAGACATTTATTTTATCAATGCATTTTCTACCCTGTCAATGAAAAGAGATTGGTTATATAACTTTCGAGATGCAATCTTGCTGTCTAGCATTATTGAGTGAGATGCAACTCGGAAGAAAAACCTACTCTAAACACGACAGCTTTCTTGAGAGGAAGGAAAAAAAAAAATCCAATGCTCTATGTTTTTAGGAACTTCGTCTTTCATTTTCTTCACTTTTCCGATAAGAGATGCGAAGAATCGTCCGAGAAAGCTCCAAATTTAGTTCGATTTTCAGGATTTTATTTCCAATAATAGAGTTGTAAAGTCGCTCTCGAGATTTTTTTTTCTTTCATTAGATTTTTATAAAACAGGATACCGGGATCAATTTATTACAAAACCGACAACACATTCAATCGTTTAAAAAAGGCATCGACCATACATAAATAAATTAATTAATTTAATTTAATTAATCCTCTATTAACTCACCAGTAAATCCTTCTTTACATAAACAAGCGTAACCACCTTCTTTTCTTACGCAAGTTCCGTTTTTTCCACACGGATTAGAATAACACAGGTTAACTTCCGTATCGCACTCGTAATTATGATTCATACCTAAAAAAAAATAATCGATAAGTAACTAATATATATATACTTTTCGTATATATATATAAAATGTATTAAGGATTGTTTATCTTTACCTGTAAATCCCGAAGGACATCGACAGGCAAATGTGTTGACGGGATAAATGGGCCGGAACAACAAACTGTCCGAAGCTATAAAGCCAGAAGCTTTTCCAAACTTCAGAACAGATAAACATTCTTCAAAGTTAACACACGGTTCCCTAACGCACAGGTTATCATCGAAAGGTAATACCTGAAGTAGAGATTAAGTTGATATCTTTTATACTTTCCTATCTCATACAGCTTTTATATATAGAATTCACGAAAATTTTGCACCAATCTCGTTATAAGAAAAGTCTCGAGTAAATATTATTTTCTACCTAAAGTCTTTTTTTTTTCTATAAATAAATAAAAAAAATACTTCTCCATAATCTTATCCCTTTAGAATCTCTGACAAAAGTATTATTACAGGTTTCTTTATAGAGTTTTCAAGGATAAAATACTTAAAACTTTATGTGTTTTACTTTTTAATTTATTCGAAAAAAAAAATAATAATAATAATAAAAAAGGGGGCATTTCTAGAAAATAATTTTAAAATTCTTATCGTTTTGACACTTTTCAATATTTTTTTTCCTCACAAGAATAGAGGATATATTCCTTTGAGAAACATGTCAGTCTTACATGACTGACACGCTATCAGAATTCACGTCGTGTCACTCTTTTCTGAACATTCGAGTTACTCTTGTAAATCCTTCTTTTAAAGGTTTATTCGGAGTTAAATTTAACATCTCAAATTTGAGTATCGTTCAAAACAGATTGTTAAAAAGAAAAGTGAAAAGAATGAGTGAGTATCACTTTTACCTGAACATTTGCTAGTCGTGCTAAAATAGCTCGGTTTAGATAAACTCTCTCTTGAAGATACTGTGGACTATAAAAAGATCCAGAATCAAAACTTCTAGCAGAAAAACTGACGTTTAAAATCTTGGCTTCGACATCCGTATCGTCCTAAAAGAAATAAATTGAAAAAGAGAGAAAATTTCGTGGAAAAATGCGTTAAATACTCAATTATTAGCGAGATTGCGGCCGAAGTTTTCATCTATCGAACGTGAACGTCGAACGTCGAACATCTCTCGAACGTGAACGTCGAACGTCGAGCGCCGCTTTGTAAGCGGCGCTCGACGTTCGACGTTCACGTTCGAGAGATGAAAACTTCGGCCGAAACCTCTCTATTATTATCCATCTTATCTTTATAACTGATATTGGAATTCGATTCTAATTAATTCATAGAAAAGAAGACTTGTTTGTGAAAAGATTAATGTTTTTTTTTTTTGTTTTTAATTATTCAAAATGTATACAGAGAATCTGACATATTAAAAAAAAAGGTAACCATAATTATCTATGATATTTTTCATTAAAATTTCATATAAAAATCGATGTTTTATCCATTTCGGAGACGATGATTACTAAATAAATTATAAAGCTATTCTTATATTAATGTAAGAATCAGGTAAATATTATGCAGCAGAGGTTGTATGTCATATTTAAATGATATGTAGCCAATAGAAGAAACCAAGCCTAAAGCATTATTGACTAAAATGACATTACACGCAAGCAACGGACTAATAAAGCAGTCGAAGTACATAAATAATCTAATTTACTTTCCCTTTGAATTTAACAGCTTCATAATTTGCGAAATGTAAACACATTAGTTATCACCCCATTACAAGCCACAGGATTTTTCTTTAACCTTAGAATATTCTACTTAATGGAGAAACTAATTCTCTCTCTATATATATATAATAGATAATCGTAGTTTTATTCTTCTTATTATTATTTAAAATCTCTTTAATAAATAATCGATACGTATGAATTTTCTCTTGTTTACGAATTAATAAACGGTGAAATCCTGACAGTTAGACATTGGTTATGAATATTAATTTGAATTTATTGGTAGGATGTAATGTTCCATTTTCATTTTCTGTCCCAAGAGTACTTGGGATTTCCAGTCACCGAACTGAAGCAGATTTTATTGCGATGTACAGTACAACTGTCTGATCCCAGAAAGTGCTGAGTAGAGTAGTCCTACTATATTAAAGAAAACGGTTGAATAGCTGGACATACTATCGTCTCCATCTCCAGGGAAAGTTACTCGTACAATCGAGATTGCCAAATTTTATTTCCCTTATTGTCATCGATATTATCTAAGATACCGTATATGTATGTATTCATTTAAATATTCAAGAGATTCTCCAGTTTAAATCGAATATAAAGTCAAGGGGTTGCTTTTAACGTCGGTGTAATTTAATATTTAGAAAATTACAATTTAAATAGGAGGAGGAAGAGGAAGAGGAGGAGGAGGAGGAGGAGGAGGAGGAAAAATACACGTTTATAACTAAATTAAAACATAGATTAAACCTATACAGTAGTTATTTTAATATATAAATAAATTATTACCTGAACGTTAAAGATATAAATATTATCTTTTGGGCAAGGTATAATAGCAGCTAGACCTTCTAAAAAGTAATCAAAAACGGGTGAAAGGAACGAAGTTTGTGTCATGTCGTTCAGGCGTACAGTTACACTGTTAAATAGCATGGCTTCTGTCACGAGTCGCACAATCAGTTGACATTCTGCAAGAACTTCATTGATACCATCTGTTAAAAAAAGAGTAAAAGATCAATCAATAATACAAGAGTTTATTATCGAAATTTTATACAGTAACAATAGCATGGAAGAAATTTCGGTTTGGCCATCATATAGGCTATATATATATATATCATCTTTTTCTCTATCATTGTGAGAAAGGAGACGTCTCTAGCTGCTGCACTTTATGTTATTGGGGAGGATTTGTTTCGCTTGAATTTCTATTGTAGAAAACACAAAAAAACAAATTTCTTTGATGGTTTTTAAGTTGTGAAATATGATTTCTATAACGGTTCCTTCCTTTAATATTCAGTTAACAATAGTATTAAAATTAAAAAGAAACCCCGAATTTATCAATTTAAGATATTCAGAACACGTTCCCCCAATCGAAAAATAATTAATTATTCAAGATTTCCCTTTCCGATCTGTCTTAAAGGATATAAATGTCTAGATTTTCCTTCGTCTTCTTAACTAAACACGAATGCAAATCAAGAATCAAATTCTCTCTCTCTTTCTCTCTAATTTACATAAAGTGGATTTATATTTCGCCACTTCAAAATCGTCGTTATACTTCTCTTTTTTATCACAAATCGTTTGAAAAGTTTTAATAAATAAAACGGAATGAATTAAATTTTAAAACATTATCATATTATTAAATCCTTGTGAATATTATTTTCTACGGTTTAGATAACAAGATTGGCAAGTTATCTCTTGATCTTTTATCCTTTTGTTATGTATTCTTTCGCATTTACACGACTTAAGATTTTTAAAACACCTTCATATAATGGGTTATGAAAATTTGTTGTGTTAAGATTATAACATTGAAGAAACATAAAAGCCTGACAGGTTTAAAAAAACCGCAATGAGTTTTGGATCGTTATTTAAATGGCTGTGAATAACACAGTACTTTTTATAAATCTCTAAACACGAAGCGTGTTCACTAGTAATAAAGCTAAATAGGACTTTTCTCTTGTTGAAAAGGGAAATACGCCTGCAGTTGCATAATAAAGGAGAGTGAACAGAGAGAGAGAGAGAGAAAAAAATCTGTGTATTTTTTCTCTATCATTATTAAAACAAATAAACAATAGCAGTAAGTTTTTGTGTTTCCCTCCTCTCTCTTTTGATGATGTGCTACGTTTAATTGGTACCAATACGGACTTTACCTAAGAAAGAAAAACATAGACGAGTCACGCCTTATTCTTCCATATTCTATAACGAGAAATACAGTACAGAATTATTTATTTATAAAGAAGAAAATATTCCCGAGGGATGTTTACAACATCACAAAGGTATCTCCTAAAAGCACGTCTGTGTATAATCAACCTATATACTATCATAAAGGTTAGTTATAAACGTGTAAATCACAATAGTATATTGTATTTGATTAACGGTATATTTAATTTTTAAAGAAAGCGTAAGAAAGAAGATTAAAAGAGAAAAAAAAAACGCCATTTTTAACTCGATTTTATCGGTAGTTTGGATTATATAAAATGCACACAGAATTCAAATAAAAACAATTCTTTTCTATTATATCAGATTGGAATAGAGTGGGGCATTTTGTTTTTTTTTCTCTCTCTTTTATTAAAAAAACTCCGTATTAATAAAGAAAAAAAAGAATGTTTTCGTTAAGAAGATAAATTATAAATTTATATTTACAAAAGCATATAAATTTTTAATTATTTTGAATACAGTCGTGTGTTATTTTTCTATATATGTTATAATTTTATAGTCGAAACTTTCAATCACACTCCCCTTTTTTTTAAATAAATAAATAACTAAAAAATGGTTTTAAATAAGTTCATGTTATAATCTTTGATTATTTCAGTCATATTTAAAGAAGAATTTAAAGGATAAGATTTCTGTTTTACACTGTTTTCTTCCATGGTATAGAGGTTCTATGTAACTGGATTCCTACGAGTTCCACTATAACTTTAATAAAATCATTCCGAATTTTGGTTCTCTCTCCCTCTCTCTCTCTATATATATCTACTTCTTTCTCTCTTCTATATCGATTTAAAAATTCAAATTTTGAAATAGAAAAGTTTCTAAAAACTATTATTCAAACAGATTTTTTTCATGTAAAATAAACAATACAATTTTTTTTCTTCCTCTATTTTTTTTATTGTTGTTAGAAAATAAGAATGTTATCACAGTCGTAAACAATAATAAATATAATACGTTTCGTTATTCTTTAAACAGTTATAATCTAGTGTAAGATATTCCATTATTCTATATATATATATACTGTACTTAACTAAAGCAGTATGTTATAGATTTACCTCTACGATATTAGATTCTGTATATAAATAGTATTTATACTGTACAAGGTTGTACTTGAAGATGAAATGTATCCTACCAAATATACTAGTTATTGATCACGGTGTCTGATTTCTTAAAAAGTCTCGCTCCATTAAGTCTGGCGTCAGATAGTCGGCCAACTCGCTCACTTCGACGTGCTTCTACAGCAATAAAACTTCACAAAAACTCGAGTTTTTCTAACCTCTACCTTTATATTAAAAAGAAAATTTAAAAAAAAAAACGGATCTATTGTTAAATAAATTAACAGTTGTAAATGAGTTTTTTCCATGTTTGACGTTACAGCATCCTTCAATCTTCATCATAAGAGATCACTACTAAAGGTAAGTATGACATAAATACCAGCAGTCGCCTGGCAACAGAATGCAGTTGACAATTAATCAACAATTTACTGTCATCGTCGCCTAGACAGCGAGAAGAAAATGTTCGTGGGTAGTGTCATCTGCAAATTGTCCTTGTTTCAGGTGTTAATTTTAATTATCTCCGTCACGTTGGAATTTTAAATGATTTATCATTACATAAATTCCTCCTCTTATCAGAATATATATATATAATCCTTATAAAAATCTTACTCCTTAACATAGGAAAAGAGGGAGAGAGAGAGAGAGTTTTAGAGGCAGGAAAAAGAACAGAAATTAAGAAATTATCAGGAAGAAAACAAGGGAAAAAAATCAGATTATCCTAGAATGCTACTGAATAGATTTAGTTATCTTCAACTTCAGAATCGGATGATACCGAGATATGACATTATTTCCTTCGGGAAATATCTCTAATGGTTTCTGTTTTCTTATTTGTGAACACACTCAAGAAGGGGAGGATGATCAGATAAAAATTCTATTATTGGATAAAGTGAGATATAATGCTGATTGTTTTAATCCTTTATCATTTGGGAATTTCTTTTCTTTCTCTTTCTAAATTACCTAAAAGAGTATTTATTTGTTTGGTACTACACTAATTCCTTTAGAGAAGTTTTCTTTTTCTTTTTTTCCCCCCTCCTCTCAGAGTATTAAATCATCCTGATCTGTTTGGATAATCTATCTGCTATACCATCCTACCAATAAATGAATAAAAATTCATTTTTATAAGCATTACTTAATTAGATATTTTCGATCAATATAAAAGTACAGAATTAATAATGGGTATATACCAGTAAAATCTTAATAATATACGGAGAAGGGAGAGTAAGAATAAATCGATTTTTATTTATTTTATTTTGTGAATTAATTATAAAGATTAAAGCCCTATAAATTTTAAAACCACTTAATTCTTTTCTTTTAGAAAATCTCTCTAAACTTAATAGATTTTTCGAAATAAACAGGAGACAACACTAAAACACGAGAAAAAAAAATGAGAAAATAATAGCAAAAGAAGTAAGTTAATTACATTAAAATAGATATTTTAAAATTGGATAAAAGATTATTAAAGCAAAATTATAAATTTTATTTTCTACAATTTTTAATACTTGAAATATTAGAGAATTTAAATTATAATTATTAAGGTAAATTGGGCAAAAATGTTACAATTATATCGAGAAGGGAATGAAATTAAACTTTTAAAACAGAAAACTAACAAGAGATATCAATTTGCAGAGTTTGCAAGAAATTACAATAAGTTTTAATCCTCTTAAAGAACGTAAAATTCTCTCTTAACCCAATAAGAAAAAGAAAAAAAAAAAAAAAAGATAAGGAAACGTCAAGAGTGCAGCTAAGTTACTGAAGCTAGGATGGAGACGTGCAGTAACACGTGCTACTTCACCTACTATTCAATTTCCTGTGTGTTATGAATAAAACATTACTCTTTTAACATAACTTCCTGATAGATTTCGATTGTAGAAAGTGGAAACTAAGTTTCGTCAGTAGTCACTTTACCATTTTAACAGTTTATTTAATAAGTTTCTGGATAGGAAATTACGTGAGAACTTCTCTCTCACAATGCTGTCGTTTTCGTCACTATCAGATATGACGGAAATAATGTGCTATTAGTATTCAATGAGATTTTCGTATTCAACGTTTTCAGACGTAAACGATCCAATTTCGTGGTTTCCAATGTCGAATTTCAATAACACTTGCGAGAATTTGCTTTAAAAAAACGAAGGAGAATCTATAATTCGTTTGAAGATCGAATAAAGCACGAAAGATATAAAATATTCTATAGAAATTTTTCAAATTAAACAGAGTAAAATGTACTATAATACAGTAGACTTCCTCCTATAACACTGTAGATAATTCCGTGTTATATGAATTCCGTGTTGTACGAGTCACTTAGATTTTACAAATACGTGAGCCGTTCACATCCCGGCACACGTATTTGTAAAATCTAAGTGACTCGTACAACATGGAATTCATATAAAATGGAATTATCAACAGTGTTATAGGGGGGTCGACT